ATTGGATAAAAAAACAACATATAAAAGCAGCTTCACTGCCAAAATGTGTGTGAGGAGTCGGAGGCAAACTTTGCAATGTAGGAGACTCCCACTCCCTCTGAATGTTGCAGGTAACATAATGCTGACTCATTTCTGAGACTTGAGGCAATGTGTGAATACCTGAGGACTCAGCTGAATCCTAGACTTGCCACTTTTTCAGCCTTGAAAGGCATGAGTCCTTCTTTTCAGGTCTGTGCAACCAGGGAGGCTTTCTTTTTGTTCCAGCTCTTCCCCTTCCATCCTCCCCTTCCGTCTCCGTCTTCCCCAACCCCTCACTCCCCCCACATCCTGGATACTCTCTTTGATAGTCCCTGCCTCTGCTCCAGTCTTTCATAGTTTCTTGGTTACCTGAGGATGTTTGTTTATGTATATTTCAGCTAGTACTTCCCTCGCTTCTGCCTCTACACTTACAGGCAAGCGTCTCTTTTTTTTTCTCTCTCAGAGATGTTATCCTATGGTGTGAAACTTTCATGTCGTCTTTGCAATGTGTCGCCACCTGATTGGCTTAGACTGCTGCCGGATGTAGTTCTGATCTCCTTTAAGATTTTATGTAACCTGCTTTGATCTAATGTTGGGAATTATTAAAAGGAAGAAAACGTGTAGATAACTAAAGGGTGAGGGGAAGAAAGCTGATCTGACATGATTCAGGGCCAGAGAGGAGAATGGTTATCAAAGTTTCTCTTCTGAAACTGTTTAAGTTGTGAGTATTATGTATAGTAGATATATATTACTGTAAACTTAGGAGTTGAAAATTCTGAGCTAAGCTTGAGAAATGTAAAACATTTTGTAAGAAATGTTTATACATAGATATTTAGATTCAGTTTGGAATGTGTGTCCGCTTAGATTGACGTCTAAAATCAGTGTTTAGTTGTTTGTAGGTGATAGGTGAGATTGGCCAGCTTCAAAGAAAAAGAATATAATCACCTGGGCACAAACTCTCAGTTACACAATGTGTTTAGCAGACGAGCTTCACATCAGCACACTGCATAATGCATACATAATAAATAAGTCAAGGACTCTGCTGTACCAGGTATTATTTTAATGCCAAAGCAATAGATACCTGACAAAATCAAAACAAACCCTTTTCCTCTTCTACCTTGGAGATATTCTGTCAGTGATGCATCATCTCTGTGTTTTATGCAGGCAACTCGGTCACAGAGGTGCTGCCACTGCATGAGAGTGTGCTAGTTCTTTAAATGAATACAATGGCATGATAAATAATGCAAGCCACATGTATTGGAGCCTCTGGTGATCTTTTTCAATCAGTAGAACTTTAAAGGGATAAAAGTATTTATCCTGAGTACTTGACTCTGAGCTTGTTTTCATCTGAGTTCTGGGTTATGGCTCGTGTATTTAGAGTTATTTCTGTGCTGTTGTTTTTTTACATATTAAGCTCTGTTTTCTTAGCTTCTGTGATGCTGTTCTAGTTGTCCCTTATTTCTATTATTCTCTGGGTCATTAATCAAGATTCATCAGATCCAAAGTTTTGCTGTAATTCTGTCAGCTGTATGCACTTAGTTTTAATCCCACTAATCCTTACCATTTAATACTTACTTTTCCTAATTCATTAATTGATTATTCTGTTTTTCACCATCCAGGTTCCATTGCTCTGGTGATTTGGGTTTCAGTGACTCCAACTTGCAGCAATTTTGTCATGAAGTTATCCTGCCCCATCACCACACATCTGCTTTTGTCCTGTTTGCATTTGGGTCCTAAACAATCATTGAGCAGTCCTCTAAATTCATGTTTATGAAGGTGTTAGAGTCTGACTGACAGTCTTGGTTATTATTACATATGCAAATGCAGCTGACAGCTGATGAAAATGTAATGGAAACAAATTGAAACCTACCTTATCTGGACAACACTGACTAGCAAACCACCAGAATAAAGAGAGGAAATTTATTACGCACTGGAATATGGAATGACAAGTAATCAACGTGAACAATTGGGGCCAATGAGATGTTATCAGAACAGTCATTATCAAAATAAATTTGTGCTGCGTATTTTTTCCATCTTGGTCTCAAGTCTTATCTCAGTTTGCACAGTGTGCCACATCATGTCCCATCTTAACATAATAATCCACAACAATTTTTGTTTATATTTTAATATTTTGTGAGGAGAAAGTGTAGATAAAAGTTTCTTGTGTTGTTAAGAAACTTTTGCCGATAGTGTTTTATTTGTTTCAGTTGTACAGAAAATTGCCTTCTCCAATCTTACAGGCATAAAGGTCTTCTGGTCGATTTGCGATACCTTGGAAACGGGACATGTCACACCAAAATTTGGCTTTTTCTTGTCTTTGTGCTTTCGTGAGATTTGTGTGTCTGCTCTGTCTTCATAGGCAGCCACTTATGCTCACCCTCATTTTAGTGGCGGTTCCTTCCATTACAGGGCGGTCATTACCTGTACCTGTCACCACACGCTTGCTCAGGAGTCGGGATTGCTGCGCAGTTAATGTCTTTATGCAAACAGCTGGGCATTTTACTAAATGTTACAAGCTAAACTTGACTGTATTGTATATTATTGGGGTTTTATTCATGATCGGAATGTCTTAATTGATTTGTTGTATATTTGTAGATATGAATTGTGCTGGTTTGTCTTGTAAAGTACCTTAATCTGACAATGTGAATAAACACTTTTCACATGAATTGAACGAAGTGAAAAACTGGTTGGTGATGCTCTCTTTCGTTAGATTAGTCTTCTATTATTTAGTTAACTTAAAACAATAAATGAAGCAAATGTTCTAAAGCTAATCAAGAATAACAATTGAAACAGATTTTTTTTTAAAACACACAAGGCAGTCTTCGGTGTCAGTTCATTCAGCTGCTGCTGAGCTGCAGAAGTTCTCTTAGAAATTTAATATTTTTCACTTTTCATACAACCGTCACAGAATTTGGGATTATGTGAAAGGGTAAGTCTTTCATATTAAATTTTTCCTCATTTGTCTTCTGTAAATGCATTTCTAATGCATTTTGACCACATTTCTTTTCTTTGTCGTATTGTTTTCTTTAACTAGTTTCCTTTTATTTATCAAATAAATTTGAATTACCTTTGGTAAGAATGCTGTCTTAAAAATGAACCTCCCCTTTCTTGCAGACTCAAAGAAACAGAATATAGATTGATGGATGAGTTTTTTTTTTTTTTTCATTGTTGAATCTAAACCCTTTAACCCTTTCATGACTTTGCTAACATGCTTTAATTTTTTGCAAGTATCCATATTCAAATGTGCATGCCTACAAGTCAGTGTATGGAAAAACACTTTATGGTAAGAAAAAAAAAAAAAGGATGTTAAAGACAACTTTCAAATTTGTTTTGCATTATCCTGTGGTTCTTGACAAATTAAATTCATTGATGTGCTCCTTCACTTATCTAACTTTTAAAAAATACTTTTAAAAAATCCTTGCATTGATTTTTCTCCCAATTAGGTCAGATGGATCGAATTCCCTCTAGAAAGTGTTAAACCTTTCTCCCAGTGTTTACAAAGCTATCCTAATTAAGCAGAAAAAAATAACAGTCCATCGTCCAAGAATAATAGCAAGGCTCTGTTCATTCTCACAGATTTTGTCAGGGTAAAGAGGAGCATGTTCTGAAAGACCTGTAACTAATATTGCACTGGGCCTATTAAATTTACAGTAACACACCAAGCCAGAGAAGTATGAGCTGTAAAGTAGATTTACAGGGTGGTAAACAGCGTGAAGAGATTCAGTCTGTTGCGAGTTCCAACTTAGAACGTGACTTTGAATGACAGCAAGGACGAAACAGAGCTGGTCATGATTTATAGCCTTGTGGGCTCAGGTGTTGGAGCAGACATGTGGTTTATTTGTGTAGCTCTGCAGAGCAATAAGCAACTTTCATTCTAGGTGAAGAAATGATAAGAAAAATGTATCTTGTCGATTTAACCCGCCTAATGCAAAAAGATCAATTGATAGGAAAAGATGAAGAAATTTGCTGAGGACACAAATGGTTCTTTCTCTTTTTTTACAGTAAGGTATAACCAGCAATAGCATAAAACCTGGTGCTGCTGCAGACAATATTAACAGATCCATCCATCAGCCCAGCAGAAAAAAATAATAAATATTTTGTTTTAAATTTGAAATGTTAACATATTCTTCCATAATTTGTTCATGTGGACATGGATTATTTTTCAACTTGATTTTAGTTGGAGAATATTTCATCAGAGTAGGAAGCAGCATTTTAAATAAATCATATGCAAATAAATCTGTGTTGTTCAGCAAATAACTTTTGTTATACCTGAGCACTTTCTCCTATGAAATTAGGAGCAAATAAACATGAGATTTCAAGCACAACTTCATCTCTCAGCAAAAACATGCGAGGTTAAGGAGCTCAGTGCTGTTCCTGAGGTACATTTTGTTGCATAAATTTCATTTTGCCCTGAAAGCAAATAAAAAAGTAACTTTATTTTATAAAACTTGCTACATTCTGCTCAGTCAGCTGGTTGTCTGCAACTTTTAACAGATTTTTAACTTTTTTTTTCTCATTTGTTTTGTTCCTTTATTTCCTGCTTCCCCTCAGGATCAGGTCTGTGGTGCGATCAGAGGGAAGCGTACACACACCGTTCAGCGAAAGACTGACCTGCTAATTTTTTTATCTGCAGCTAAAAACATGGCTTAGCTCAATGTGAATGCTTCCTGGTAACAATTGGTAACAACCTTGTTTCCATTTCAGTTTTGGCTGCTAAATTTGTCCCAGAGATGGATACATAGCCCCAGGAGTTTGTCCGTGGTTTTGTACGTATCACTTGAAACTCTATTGAGAGAAGAAAAGCACTTTAATTCAGAGAAGGAACAAAATCTGTGTCAGATTTTCTTTATATTCCAAACAATTATCAGGATGGGCATGTGCATGTTTTTGAGCATTTGTCCATCCTTTTATGCACCTGTGTGTGTGTGCGTGTGTAACTACAAGCAGGAAGTGGTGATACAGGTTAAGCAGCTGCATTTGATCTGTTTGGAGGCGAGGTAGCAGTCTTAGATGCACATGTTGTGTGACATCTGAGGCGGCCTCAGGGAGGAGAAACCGCAAAACTTTCTAATATCAGAGCTGCATGTGGGATGACACACTTCAAACCACCCACTGTGATCTGTACACACAAGCACACATAATGAGAAAAAATACACACTCGTGATGGGTCACTCCTCTAACACAGACGGTATGTGTTTAACATTTAAACATGTGCACGCTTACACTTAACTTAGCAACATGACCCGCCATCGGCAGCTCGTCAGCAGACACATTGTACCCCGGCACCCCCATGCAGCCCCACAGGCTCCAAAGCATCTACAGGCCACTTGTCCCATTTGCTGTTCTCAGTGTTATCTGTCAGACGTCCCATATATGTCTTAATTAACAATTCGCAAGGTGTATTATTTCAGGGGGCTTCCTCTTTCCTGAATGGGAGAGATCTGCTGGAAAAGCTCCACCGGGCCATCACACAACCAAAGGAAACCGAGTGCAAAAGTTGAACATAGTTAAATGAAAGTGATGGACTTTCCCTGCACTGAGGCTGTTTGTGGACAATGTAAATGAAACTGCAGAGAGTGCGTTTTTCCACCCTCATGCTGGAAGTAGTTTCCTGGCTTTATCCAACTTAATCAATTACTGTTTTAGTACAGAGTAGCTAAAGGTTGTATATTGGCCACTAATAGTTCTAAATGTGACTTGCATGGCCTAATATGTATAAAATCATCATTTACGCAATGCATGTGAAGAAGAAAGCTAAAATAATAAGAAATGGTTCCAGATACAAGTAAATATTTACAAAACTGATTGCCATACTATTTGGAAGTTTAGCAGAACAACACTCATCGTGTGCAAAGCGTATAATAATCTCCTTTCAATCTATTCTTAGAAATAGTTGAAATTTAAGAAACAAAGTGTGATCTTACAGGAAGAAAACAAAATTGTATTAATAATGCTGATTTTAAAAATGTGCAAAAATGTTACGAATCAAACAATGACAAGCCAAAAGGGAGATCTGATTATGACTGATTATTATATAAAGTGAACCCCCAGAATTTGCAGCCAAAATCTGTAAATATTTTAGATCACTTCTAAAACAACACATCTAACTGCCTATTTTACTAGACCAACACCAAATATACCCTAAATTGCATTAGTACCCACAAAACCTGTCTTTGCACTGTCACAGATGGTAACATTCACAGTCTTTCTTATCTCTGCTCTTGGGGGAACAGCCAATCAGCACCAAGGAAAGATTGTTGAGTAGTACTGCACTGAAGTTTGTCAGTTTCCAAAGCTGTGCTTTCTGTCAAATATTTTAACAGAGTTGACAAAAAAATCCATATATAGGCAATTTTTCTGCAATTAATTTCGAGATATTTTTCACTAAAAAATTTACCAATAGGTAAATCCGTGAAAACTAAATTGTGAGTAGATGGGAGTCCATTGTAGTTGTTGTTTTGCATTAAATTGGTGAAATGTTGTTCCTCACAGTGTGTTGCAGCAGTAGAGAAAGTGCTCTATGTGCAGAAGCTATTGATTCTCAATGCCATCATTTGGGGTTCAATTCCCACCTTGACACAGTTGTTCCTCTTCTTTCTCTGCACATTTCCTGCCTGGTTGCTGGTTGCCAATAGTCAAAAAGGTGAATTCCACCAGTTATGCTGAAGAGATTGTAAAAATAAATAAATAAATAAATAAAATAAAAGCTTAGGCTTCTGTGCAAAAAATCCCTCAGTGTCAAACTCATATTTTTGCCAGTGAACAAATACTAAGCTAATAAAATCATACCAAATAACGACAATCAGCAAAATCCAAACACAATTATCTAAAGGTGTTGAATGTAAGTGCTAGATATCTGTGAAAAGCTTTTCAGGGATCTTTTGCTACTTTTAGAAACCTTGTTGCTTTCAAACCTCACAGTTTCTTGAAAGTAACTGAACACTGGGTTGGATATTTTTGCTTTAAGAATAAAAATGCATTGAGACTGCCACTTCGCAAACAACGGGTGTTTGCTCAAGTGGAGCCAATTACTCAAAATAAATTGGGTCTTCCTCTCTAGTCTCTTCTTTGCTCCAACCAGCTCTCCTTCCCCCCAACTCCCTCATTCCTTTATTTTTCTGTTAAGAGTTGTCATTTGTAAACCAGGTCAAATCCACAACGAGCCCCTCCCTCCAAATAAACAGGCTAGTAATGGTTGTTTACCCAGAGTACAAGAGCCATTATTTGCTAGGAAGTTAAACATCTCTGACAGGCAAAATGGCTGCAGACAAATCACTGTTGTCCTTTTTTGAGGGATTGATTGGAGGAATGCTGATGTTTCCTTAACCGTTACCAGCAGCCTTGTGATGGCTTTTCAAAAAGCATACCAACTGAATAATGTAATGATCCAATCAAAAGAGCTTTTGTTTATCTGCAATCATGCTGCATAGTGAACAGATGACCTCGCTGAACATATATTTCATCATCTTGGCTGCCTCGGAGGTGCGGTCTGTGCTATCGGAACCAATGGATTTTACAATCTCTTATATCACCTCACAAAACCTGGGCACAACCTGGAAATTTTGTAAAATAAGTTAATTAAGGATACGTCTAAAAAGAGAAGTGTAATGAGTTTGGGGTCCATCCCATGAGGTCATTAAGAGATCATATAATTGTGCAAGGCACTGTT